CATCTTGAGCGAAAACATGGGAAGGCCGAAGCATGGTATATCCTCACACCTGGCACAGTCCACCTCGGCCTCATAGAACCTGTCGGGGAGCAGGAATTGCTCCAACTTGTGACTACAAAGAGGGGAGGAGAGCTCTTGAAGCGAATGCACAAAATTGATGTCAAACCGCACCAGACAGTTTACGTACCGCCAGGTCTTCTCCATGCTATTGGTGAAGGCATTCTCCTTGTGGAGCTTCAGGAGCCAGAGGATCTTTCGGTATTAGTTGAGTGGGCGGGCTTTGCCATTGATGGTTTGAAAGACGGACATCTTGGTCTTGGATTTGAGACAGCTTTAACCGCCGTCGATATCAGTGTCAAGACGAGAGAAGAGATTCTCAGTCTTAGGACAGATGCGGAGACGCAGAAAAGTGCTTTCCACATTGATAGTGAAACATACTTCAGACTGCAAAGAGTCAAAGTGTCTGGTAGCGAGACCTGCGAGTCTGGCTTTGCTATTTTGATTGTCGTTGGTGGTAATTTAGGACTTTGGACGAAGGTGGGACCAGAACTCACCTTAATGAAGGGTTCGACGGTGGTGATCCCGTTTGAGGACGGGGAATTCACTCTGACAGGGGAAGGAGAGCTTCTTATCGCAAGGCCTCCATTATGACGTATATGGACTCGATGGTATAAATGGATTAGTTGGAGATTAAACCGATTTGCGGTAATCAGCATTCAATAGTTTTTAATAAACTTAAAGATTTTCTCGCCTTGTGTCAAATTTGCAGGAACACGGTAGAAGGAGAAGACGAACCAAATGATATCATGAGTTCTTAATTACTTCATTTCGATGATGAGCCAACTTAATATACCGACAAAGGAAACGTTTACACCATGCCGTTGTGAGTGATGCTATGTTGACAAATGAAAGCCATGCAGTCATGCAGAATAAACAGCATAGTAGCATGCATACTATCAACATGCCATAGCCGTTGGTTGATCAACTTTCTCCATAAGATCCGCTCCTGACAGCACCTTTAGCGACCCCAAGCTCGACGACAACATTGTGTGCTGCATTCCAAGCTCACCAGACTCTATCTCAGAGCCGCATCATGTCTAGATCATCCACGCTTCTTGATCACTCGACAAGCCCAATTACGAGCGTGAAGGTGATAGTGAGCCTGGACCTGAGCACTTCGACGAAGTAACACAATTGTCTCATGACATCACTTGTCACAACACACGCCAGAGCATGTCCAAATGCGCCCTCAACAACTCATACCCTGGTCCTGGTGACAATCCGTAATTCGAATGTGTTCAATAGCACAGTAGGGTACCATATTACAACCTTTGATGAAGTAGTGCCTCAAATGTGTGGCAGCAAGCGCGTTACCGCGCTGCGCTCTTCACAGATGATGGCCTATTACAAAAGGATGAATGACACATATCCAAAGTAAAGCCTCTTGTTCGTATCGTCTTCTGAAAATGCCATTGGGCACGCATGCAGGAAAGCCCGGATGACAAATTGGCAGTGGTTGATAAGCGTCAAATAAGCGTCAACAGCAATGCATTGTTTTTTTATTTTAGAAACCCGACCAGGAGCGTTATAGAAAATTTGGTTTCCATGATGCAGGGCCGAGACCTCGTTCTCAGACAATAGTGGCGTGACCCGTCTTATTGCCATTATTGCTGTCGTTTGTTGTTACAGCCTCATTTCCCAAGTTTGGAGCTTGAGATGTTGGAGTGTAGTTGAGTTGAGATAGAGACTTGATAGTGTGCAGCCGGCATGGATGTAAAAGGTGACGACAATGCTGGCTCGAAATATTGTGGTGAGTTGGAATAAGCACACGTTTGAGGTCTAAGGACGGGCTTAAGGGATTCGCAGATGATCCGTCAGGAGGGCCGAAGGTTCGGTTCCGGGGTTTGTAGGTGGTCCCGTAGGTCGGGCCGAGTGGGTACCGTCGCCATCCTGGGGATGGAACGGCCCCCGCCGGCCGCGGCCCTAGCACCGCCGAAGTGACGGAGAAGGATTGCAATTGTGATCGTTGCCTTGCCCGCACCTTGAAGGGAAAACAAAATATCTCGTGTGACGGGTATGAGCTCAATAAAATACTGAGCAGATGCCCGCCAACCTCGCTCGCCGCAATGTCGCTATGGCTAGCAAAAACGCACGCAAATGGCTGGGGGTGCTTCACCGCATCGCAACGCGCGGGCCAGTCCAACCAAAAGAATGCAGCATTCCTGCCAGCCCACCTACGCCAGCCCCACGGTAGGCCAGCATCCTAACCTTCGCAGCGTTCGTGGCTCCAATCCAACGCCTGTCATGGAGAACCCGCACCAAAGAGTTCTTGTCTAGTATCATTCAGTGAGCTGCACTGGCGCTGCAATGCACGAACCAACGGACCTCAACAGACCTTGGATTGGCAGAGAACACGCCTAGTCTCATCCACAAGTGGCGGTCACGGCTTTCCCATGCCCATGCTCAACCAAGGCTACCCAAAAGAAGGAGGACGAATGACCAAAATACAATTGAGGGATCCTCAGTTCAACATCTGATCTGTCCACTGTGGAACTGTGCCTTGGCCAGATGGCCAGTATGATCAGCCTGGTTGCTGCTAATCATATTGATGGCTTATCCGAGGTCTCTTGCGAACTCAGTCACGATGGTCTCCCGCGATGTAGTTGATGCTCAGTCCCGGTCTAACAAGGTATCTCTCTGCGTAAGCCGCTTGTGTCGAATTGCCCAGGCGACTGGCACACCGCTGGCGCAGGATCCACCAGCGCCGCCTTCATACCTAACCCACCCACAGCAGCCCCAAATACAGTACTTACCAGGCAAAGGGCGGTCAAATCGCCTGGAAGCTATTGCAGCAGGGTGCCAACCCATCCTGGCATCCGTATCTCGCGGCGCACATGAGACTAAATGGTTGGAGGTCATGCTCAAAATTACGGCGGCTGTAGGTGCAGGCAGCTCTACTCCATGATTGATGAGGGGATAATCACCGTTCAGACAAGACCCAGCTCCGAACTGCAAATAGGACTACACTGCAAAGCTCACCAGCATGGCCATCACGGCCCTTCCTAGGCATGAGCTACTTAGCTGGGCAAATCAGTGATGCATGCGATTATCATCTCAGAAAATCTCACATCAGTTGTTGGAGCCGGATGAAATCATCATAGAAGAGGCTCTTCTAGGTTGATCAGCGGCATGGCGGATGTTTCGACAGCCTGCAGGGCCGTTTCGACCGACTCCCAGTGTTTCAGTGTGCCAGGTGAGTTCTTGCTAAAACGTGCGGCTTTGTAGGCCAAGCTCCACATGCGCACTGCGGCAAAGCGGCATCACGAGATGCCGCTCGGCTGTGGCGTTTTCTTTCGCCGCCGCAATGGCCTGCACGGTACACTTTGCATTATCTATTGGGATGGGTAACTTCTCAAGGTCTTTACTATTTATCTATAAGGCAATGACCGTGACCTGTTCGAACATTCAGCCCGCTCCTCAACCTTGCCTGGTGAAGTGAATCGGGAAGACCAGTCTCATGTCCGCTGTTGGGGCGGTGGCTTCTGGCATCGAGTACTATATGCACAATCAATGGCGGCAAGCTTTCAAGCAATTTCTTAAAGGGTCATGTTTCAAAAGATTATCAACTACTGATTGACCGCCACGCTGTACTCAATGCAATCTCCGCTAGATGATGTCAGAAGGTGATACTGCATGGGCTTGCAATATAATAGAGAATCAAGAGAGTCCATGATTGCAGGTGCTAGACGAGCCCTGGAGGGAGTTTCGCGGATCGACCTCACAACAGTCAGTGAGCTGGGCAGTGCTGATGATAAGCTAACAGACTACAGTACAGTGTCTTACTAGCCTTAAATATAACGTTATTATCAAACCCCGCGAAAAGTGCCCTGGGGGAAGGTAAAGTCCAGTAGAGTAGTAGACTTATTACTTAATTTGATTTGACCCGCACGTTCCTGATGATCTGCTGGCTGCAGAGCGCGGCCTTTCCCGGTCAGGGCAAGCCTCCCGCCCCAGGGGACGCTGTGGTTGGTCCAATCGGCCAACCATCCAAGGAAGGTTCCCAAGAGTATGGTCAGGGGTTCCCGTGCTCGCCGTGGTTCAAGCTTGGAGCTTGGAGGAGCGCTTGAGGCAGGGGTCCCAGCCGCTAGTCGACCACTGACAGCCATTGATGGGCCACTGATGGGCAAGCACGACCCACTGGAAACCGTTCCTGTCGCACCTTCCGTGACTTCAGCGTCGTTCCCCGGGAAGGTGCTCTGTCCTCGTCGCCCTACCATCCCCAATCGGGACATCTGCGGCACTTCAGCCCGTGAGGAAGGGGCCCCTTTTCATCTCCTTCTCATTCCAATCCCACGACGCCCGCTCTCTCCGTCCCTCTCTCCCCCTCCTCTCCACTCTCAGTCAATCGACTCGAATTCCCGTCAATTCGTCCGCTCCTTAACATTGGTATCTCACTTATCACGGGCCTGCCATCAATGACCCCTTGAGACCCCGAGAGGGATCGTCAATCCCAGCCAGCATAAACTGCCGTCCAGTACTTGGACCAGATAGCACACGTTCATTACCACCTCCACCTTTCTGCTGTAGAGCCAGTAGTGATACTCCTTCCAACCCAACACCAAACCACCACGCTCTCTCCTCGATCTCGACCTCGGGTCAGGCGAATTCGTGGCCTTTGTCGCCAGTTTTCCGGCATATGCTCACTGTCTTGTCATTATTGTTCCAGCGTTTACTTCAATTGATATCCTCCCACCTGGTGTGCCCACCTTCGCTTCTTCTGCAATACACGGCAGAATCTTTACTGCCCCGACTTTGTCTCTGCGAGAATCAGACACACTCATTACTACCGGCCGGCCGCGGGACGAACTTCAAAGCAATATCTCTTGTCGTTGTGTTGATTCAGCACTCAATACCCTCACACGTCATTGTTTCTCTCGAGATACCCCTAGACAGCTCCATTTGAAAAGCGCTTACTCTTGTTCACGGGTCAGCCGTTCAGGATGTTGACTACACGCTCTTTTCTGACCTCAGCCATCGCGCTGTTGGCCGCTTTACCAAATGCTTTCGCGCAAGTTTCCACCGACTGTAACCCACTGAACACGACCGATTGCCCTCCCGATCCTGCGTTTGGCACAGACTTCAATTTCCAATTCAATAAGACACCCGCTGATGGAACATGGGATACCACTGCCGGCGATGTGCTGTACACCCCGAACTTTGGCGCCAAGTTCCAAATCAACAAGCAAGGCGATAGTCCCACTATCCGCAGCAGCTTCTACGTTTTCTGGGGCCGGTTCGAGATCTGGATGAAGGCTGCTTCTGGTACCGGAATCATTTCGTCCATGATGCTGCTTTCCGACGACCTGGATGAAATCGACTGGGAGTTCATGGGCGGAAACTCTACTCATGCTGAAACCAACTACTTCGGTAAGGGTGCGCAGGACTTCCACAACGCGATCTACTATCCTGTCAACAATGGCGTGCAGGATGACTATCACAACTATACAATTGATTGGACCAAGGACCGTCTCGAGTTCCACATCGACGGCAGCTTGGTTCGCACCCTACTGCCAAAGGAGGCCAACAACTCACTAAACTACCCCCAGACCCCGATGAGGTTGTCTCTTGGCATATGGGCAGGTGGCGACCCTACACTGCCCGAAGGGACTAGGCAATGGGCTGGTGGTGACACCAACTACAACGATGGCCCATTCACCATGTACGTTAGGAGCACGCGCATCACCGACTACAGCAAGGCCAAGGAATATGTGTACGGTGACACATCGGGCAGCTTTGAGAGCATCAAGCTCGTCGAGTAAGTTACCACCCTATCTTGGTTACCGAAGCCTGTTATTGACGAAAGAAAATAGCGAGGGAAAGAACTCCACTGTAGAAGAGGCCATCAATGCCCCACCGCCAGAGTCGATCTCTGACAAATTCAACAATCTATCGCCTACAGCCAAGTTGGCTATCTACGCGTCAGCCGCCGGAGTCGGTGTGGTACTGCTGGCTTGGGCACTCTTCTATTGCATCCGCCAGCGCCGCCGCGGCGCTCGCGAAGCTGCTTTGGCTATGAAGAAACAAGAGGAAGAGCGTCTGGAGCTTGAGCGCTTCAAGATGGCCGGCATCAACCCCGACAGTTTCGCTGAGCAGGGCATCGAGTACAACGCCAAGGAAATGGCACGCGAGGGCGTGAGCAGCAAGGACTCGTACAGCGTGCCAGCAAGCCCTAGCAATGAGAAATGGGAAACGGCCGCAGCGCTCGGCGCCGGTGCTGTCGGTGGCGGCGCAGTTGCCGCTAATGGTATGCGAAGTCCAATGCCCCTTTTGAGAGAGGGTGCACAGTCACCTCGTGTCGCCAGTCCAGGCCCCAACAATTCCCGCGGCCCGTACGCAGGTGCGGGATACTCGCCCATCAGCAACTCCCACGGTGATATGAGATCTCCCGGTCCAATGTCTCCCATGCGAACCGCTAGTCCCGGGTTGCCTCCCCCGGGCCCGTTGCCCGCAAATCCTTCCCAGCGAAGCTTCTCCTCGCCCAACGCTCAGATGAGGATAGGCTCACCAGGGCCGCAGCAGGGCGGCTATGGCGGGGGAAGAGTGAACAGTCCCGGGCCCATGGCAGCGCCCCAGAGAAGTTTCACAAACCCGCGGCCGCCGATGAGCGGCTACGGCGGTCAGGCCGGAAGCAATGGAGACTACTGGAGGTAGCCATTTCCTGCGTCGACGTTGAGGTCGTGGAACAGGCGTTCGAGTGATGTTTCCTAATGTTTATTGATTTCCAAGGTTATTTCATGAACTCACAAAGATATCTGCAAGAAGGGGGAAACCTGTGAAGATTTGGTGGGCCTGAAAGCGTTGCGGCCTCTTCTAGATGGGTCAATACATGTATGATATACGCGCTGAATCTCTCAAACGTGGCGATGGCCATGTCGTAGTGCCCAACTTGGCTTTGGGCGTGAAATCACGACCATGACTTTTCATACAGCTATGCTCGCACTTGCACCCTGCTCCTTGGATCTCTGTTCGTGCTGACTGAATCGCACGTTGTGCGGCACGTCTCAGATTCGCACTGAAGCACAACCTTACTCGTAAAGTGACGAAGTATTCAAGCCGTGTTTTATGAGCCTATCAAATAAGGTTTCGCGTCTTCAAACAATTCATACCTACTTGGGATATTAGGACAACTCAAATTTAGACTGGATAACTGAATACACAATTATTCCTGATATCTATTCTAACAAATTCTCACTCATGGTATATTCCCCTATAAACGCCATATGAATGCAAGAAACACGCTGTAATCTGATCTCAGAAGTTGAACAAAAACGCCAACCCCCCACATTGCTTTTATGCCCTTCACCATATTGTCATTTATGGTTTGGCAACCTGTTCCTTTCTGAAGAATTTGAAAAACCCAATTGGAAGAATCAACTGCATGCCCAGTGCGACCCAGAACCACACCTTGCCGATACCTGGCATGACGCCCTCCGAGAAGTCAGGGAACACGTCGCCAGGCCCGATCTTGTTGGGCGATGTCGCCCTTGCCAGAATAGTGGCAATGCTACCAAGGACCTGAGCCCCCATGAGCGTAGCCGCCACGTGCTGCCTGGTCAGCGTGAGAAGCAGGACCATGCCTAGGCCGACGCCCTGGATGGTATCCATGAGGCCGAGCCAGAGCCACAAGCACCGTGAGATGATGGCGGAAGCCACCGCGCCGCCGGCCCAAGGGAGATAGAGACCTACGCCGGACGTGCCCCAGAGCATCTGTGCCCAACGGGGCGCACCGAGACCGATGGAGAAGATGGGGACGATCCATGGGTGGCTTTTGCTGAAGAAGCTGAAACCATAGAGAAGAAGCGCCCAGAGGATGACGAAGAAGCCGACTGCAAGGAGCAGCGTCGCCCAACCTGGGATGTGCTGCGAGGAGAACAGGAACTCCCAGTTACGACCGTATGGTGCGGATAGCCAGTAGTTCTGGACTACGACAGTCAGGAAGAACCAGGGGACGATGTGACGACGGAGGAGAGAGCCGTAGAATGACGGGATCTTGTCGGGAGATTGCCGGTAATAGTCTGGTAATCCGATGAAAAGAATGACACCAACTGCCCAGAGGACGATAGCGATGGGTACGGTGATGACCAGGATCTCGGGGATCTTGCCACCAGCGATGAAGACACCATTTACTGCAGCGGCTGAGGATGACTTGCTCAGGATGCTGCCCCAGTACCAGAGAGCGACCACATAAACTTGCTGGATGCCTTGAATGACGCAAGCGCGGAAGATCCAGGTGCTGATTGGGGCGCCGCCTTCGTCGCCGAAGTTGACCGAGAAGAAGATACTGCCAGTCGAGGCTGCCGTGGCGTACATAGCAGTCGCAACATCTTGAACGCTGCCTCTGCCCTTGAGAGGAATGAAAGGCGAGACACCAAGTAGCAGGAAAGCGAGACCATAGAAGAACCAGGGAAGAGATAAGGTATATAAAGACTTGAAGCGGCGGTAAACGAACCACCAGAGAATGGTGGTTGCGCCATATGTGCCGGCCACAATGTAGAGCTTGGTCTCTGTTTGACCAACCTCGCCAGTCAGGAGAACGATTTGGTAAGAGTTCGCGGCAATGATCTGTCCCAGTGCCAGAAGGAATGAGTAGATGGGCCAGTCACCGAGTCGGATCTGGAGTAATCTGGCGAGAGTGTTCGTTAGTATGTTTTATACGGCTGCTGGAGATTCAAATCACTCACTTCTTGATACCGGTAGGAGGCTTATACCCGCTACCCAGTAGAAATTCATCGTCGCGCTCCATCTCGCCCGCAATGGCATGGTCATCACTGCTTCCCTCGTCGCTAGGGGCAATGCTATTGATGCTCACGGCGCTCACATTCCTGCTGTGCCTCTTCTTTCGCAATACACTTGGCGCAGGGCTTCGGCTGGGTGATCGAGATCGTCCGAGCTTCGCATCTCTGAACCGCGTGAACCATTCCTTCTCCGACTTAGTCAAGTAGTCCTCGATACACAGGTCTGTGTCGCTATTCTTGGCCGTCAAGCCATCAAGCTTCGCCTCGAAGGTGCGGTAGAACTCGCCAGTACTGTCTGTGAAGAATGGATCCACCTTCTGCAGCTTGTAGTCTGTTCTCTCACCAACGACATCAATGACACTGAGTCTCGATGAGTTGCGGTTCTGCTGATACATCCGACCACGAGCTTGGGGCGTGTTGAGCCCGAATGTAGAGTTCGGGCGGCTAATTCCATCTGGTGCCATCATCCGGAATGCGAAGCTATCCATGCTCTGTCGTGACATGTTGTTTTCACTGCGAGCCACGATCGTTGCCAGACTGTCCGAAGATCCACGGTTATCAGGAATGGAACTGGCATAGAATGGATTAGGAGGCAGGAGTGGGCCGCTGAGATCGGCATCATCCGGATCTGGATTGGACACAGATCGCGAGCGAGAACGCTCCTCTTCGAACAGGAATGGGACCGAAAGACTGGAGGCTCGAGATTGACGAGGGCTGGCGCTGCGAGATACGAGAGTCGATGGCGGTGGGCTTGGCTCGGCGTCGGATGCGTCGTCGAAGTATCTCGTGTTCTCATTCAGGTTTATTGAGCTCGGGACAGCCAGGAGAGACCCGCTGCTGATTCTCTTCTTCTTCTTAGCCTCCTTGCTGTGGATGCGAATCGCCTCAGACTGGAGCTTCTCCAGATCCTCAAGCCACTGGGCAACGGGGAATCTTTGCTTAGCGGACCAGGCCCGCATCTTCACACGCGTCTTCTGCTTTGAATCAAGAGCAGAGACGATAGCACCCCGGAACTGATGCAGAAGATGCTGAGGTGCTGTGGACTCGATAGTGTACCAATAACCAGGCATTTGACCCAAGCCACCAACACGGGCACCAACACCGAGAGCTCCTTTACGGCCAAACTCGACAGCGACAAGACCAAAGGGCTCATCACGGGAGGGGATGAGAGCGAACTCGGCACCACTGAAAATGTACGGTGGCAGTGCGGTGAACTCAGGCTTGCTGTAGACTCGCTTGGGGTACTTCTCCATGAGTTTGCTCAGCTTCAGAGCAGCAAACTTTCCGTAGAGGTCGATAACAGGACCAACACAGATTAGCTGAGTTGTAGGATACTTCTCGAGAATTGATGGGAAGATATCTGCGATCAGATCGACACCCTTCTGCAAACTCCAGCGTCCAACGAAGACGAAGAGCTCTGCATTAGGGTTGATTTCCAGTCCAGCCCATTCTTGGGCTTGCTTTCGGAGCTCACCACGCTTAGATTCGAATTCCTGATCGATGACAATGTCCTTTTCCTTCAGCTCTTCTTCCTTGTTCCACTCAGCGGTGTCAGTGGGGTCAGGATTGGGCAGTTGTCCGATCTTGGACAAGCCCCAGAAGATAGGATAACGAGCATAAGACCGGTCACCATACTTCTTGGAGACACCGACAGCACCAAAGCCACGTTGATGAACACGGAGATAGCTTGCACCAGCGTGAAGGAGGTTGAAGACTGATCCGAATTGTACATACTCCTTGACAATCTCTTGATCGAGATTGAAGACATCACAAACCTCTTTAGACTCCTCGGGATTACGCATCGGCCACATGCCTTGAAACTCAGCATTATGCAAGCTCAAAGCGCAGGGAATTGTGCGCTCAGGAAGGAGGTATAGAGGAGCCGCAGCACCATGATAATCATTGATGTGGTAGAGGTCAATGGGGAATCGTCGAATTGTCTCGGCAATGCAGTAGTTCCAGGCACTGTAGTAGATGGCGGATTCGATGTCATCCATGCGAGGTGGGTACGGGTCGGCCTTGGTCTGCTTTCGGAAGATAGGGGCATCAAGCAAGACGTAAGTAATATTGTTGACCTGGTGGTACTGGACTTCAATCTCGTAATCTTTGCCCATGATAGTGCAGTACATTGGCTCAGCGCGCTGGTCAATGGGATAGTCAATGCCGCCGACACAAGGGACAACCCAGATCAGGTCCTGATGCTCGAGAGCCTTGCCCATAAGCTGAGCCATAACACCGAGACCACCAATCTTAATCTTGATGTTCCAGTCGTCGATGTTGTACTCCATCGTGGCAATGAGGACAGTTCGCCTCTTTATCACACCCCCTGCACCTCCCTTCACAACTGCGCCCATCTCGACGCTGTCGTCACGAGATCTGCGAAAGTCTTCGAAAGAGATGCTTGAAAGACGGTTCGCAACTTGTCGGAACGGTGACCGGCCGCGACGCTTGAAGCCAACCTTGTTGACCTTGACTTTGTAGAAAGATCCCATGAAGATCCACACAGCGAATAGACCACCAACGACGGGCAGGGTAGCAAGCAGAATGAAAAGAATCAGCTGCCACCATCTGTTGCCAGAGGGAATGAGCTCAAATTTCAGATTGGCATCGTTGAATCTCAACTTGTAGCTCAGAGCTGGGCTTGCAGGTGATCGTGTGGCGTTCAGGAAATTTGGTGCAAGTGCATTTGGAGGCAAGCGGTCAGTCACTGTGTCGTTGTCGACATCTCCCATGATGTATGTCTGATCCGGTTTGCCATCTGGGTTGATTCCCCAGACGTTGATTTGAAATGAACTGGGCCATTCGTCCATGAAATGCATTTCCCAGTTTCCATCATTCTTCAGCTTCATACTGTTCCTCAGGCCGGCGTCGAATCCGAACTTGTTGAACGTACCATGAAGGAAGATGTGTGGGAATCGGCGAGCTGGTTGATCCTTGCTGTCACCCTGTTGCATGATGCTAGATGATCCGAGCTCACGCGAGAAGTATTGGACCATGACGTGGTCGCCAGACCACTCCTGGCGTTTCGTACCAGACCATGGCAGAAGGTCAATCTTTTGCTTTCCGCCAGTGTATGCCTGCCAATTGCTCCAGGAAGAGCCCCAGTTAGTGGAGTAGCGCCATTGAGATGCACCAGCTGCCTTGTGATTAACAAAGAGGTCGTTGCCCTCTCTGGTCAGGAGAGTCTTGGAATAGTTCGCTGTGGTTGGGAAAACGACCGGATTCTCAACAGCACCAACACGAAGCAGAAACTTGTCATTTGCTCCGGTCTTCCCATTGCCAGCCTTATTCGTGGCGTTTTTGACAGTGATGGCGTGGATACCATCAGAGACACCTTGGAGCTTAGCAGACCAGCTCCACTTGGAACCAATAGCACCGACATACGGCGGTTTCTCATCATCGGATAGAGTGGTGCACTTGACAGTGGAGTTGTCGATCTCCGCGTTGCCATTGTTGCCTTCGACAGTAGACACGATGCTGATAGAGTCCGTGACACCATCGCAGTCCATCTCCTGGGAGAAATGGAAACTGATATCTACGGAGCCCTTGGCGTCCGCAGAGTTGACAGCAGCATCATGGCCAGGAGTGAACTTTGTAATCATGGGGGGCGGGCCGACAAACAGCGACTTGGGAACATATGCCCGATATTCGAAAGGCTCCATCTTGAACTTGGAGAAGCAACCATTCGGTTTCCTTGACTCATTGAAACCAAGCTTTACATCGGAGCTCTCGAGAGTGATCTCGTCAAAGGGGTAAAACAAGTTCTTGACCACGGTCTTCTCGTCGAATGGTGCAATGAATGCTTTGTCCTTGTCGTCGCAGTCGAAAGTGTACTCAGTGGTTTTGTCTCTGTTATGATAGACAAGCCAGACTGCGCCAGTGGGCGCACGGCTCTGAATGCCAGGGAAGAAAGCTCTGGCCACACCCCAGATACCACGCTCCGTAGGCGTCTTTCCACTGCCTTCTAGGACTGTGAGGTCGGTCTGGTTACCCAGCGCCTGTAGCAACCAGCCCTCGGAGAGAGCAGGATAGTTCTCGCGCATGTGGAACATGTGCTTGAGGATGTTCCTCATCGGGTGGCTGGGGTCTCTGTGATCAAGAGCGACACCCTCATCCTGGCAGCCTTTACGGCCCTGATCAATTGGCCAACCCTTGTACTGCTCGCTGTCCATAGAATAGCAACCGTGCAACTTCCAAGCCGGCGACGAAGAGAACGGCTGTCTTCCGAAAATATAGTTCTCAGCCGTATTGTCCAGCACGTACAACCCCTGCTCCTGGCCGTAGTACAGGAGCGGAATGCCAGGTAGGTGCAGAGTCGTAATGAAGAAACCAAGCAGTTCACGTTCAATACCCTGCACAATCGCAGGCCAGCGGAAGTTATCTTGGTTTACAACACCAAACATGTGTCTTGGGTCGAATTTGCCAGTATTCGCGTTGACCATGTCGTTAGTCAGGATCATCTCGTTCCATGCATCCACCCAGTTCGGCGGCAGATCAAAACCAGCCTCAAGATTGCCGCTCATTCCCAAAAAGCGCGTCAGGAAGCGGTACACCGAATAGTGGAAAGCGCCAGCGTCAAGCGCATTCTTTCCCTTGTCACGGATGAAGAGCTTGCTGTCCGATTTGTCCGTGAGATTGATAGCTGCCGCGAGATCTTTTGGCTTCTGGTCCGGCTGTCGACCGCGGCCAATATAGATCGATCCGAGAGTGTTACCACCTGTGATCTCACCGGGCATGAAGAAGTTCTTCTTGCCAAGCTTTGAAGCACATTGGCGCATTGACTCAGAGAAGTCACCCTGCGCGTCAACCGTAACTTGGACAGCCTTGTCGAAACGATACCCGTCGATGTCGAGCATATTGATCGCGATACACGAGAATACCTCGAGGCGTTTTCGTACAGAAGGTACCCACTCCCGAAGACGATCCTGAACCGATGCAAACTTGGCCAGCTGTCGCTGGTAGTCCGGATGCACACCGAAGGCTTCAATGTCGCCATATTGGTCGAAATCGGAGTTGAAGCAGCCCTTGAGCGTATCCCGATCTTTAGCGTCAATGGGGAACCCCGTCTCGTTCCAGAAGCGCGGGTAGGCACAGGTTGTGTTGTAGTTGTTTCCGAAGCTGAAGTCGTGGTACTGTCGCTCGCCCTTGTACAGAACTTTGTGTTCCTTCGGATCAAACGGCGTCGACTCGTTCAGGAAGCCTTCGAAGCCAATCAAATCACCCATGCTGTGAAAAGGAGTCAGCAAATAAAAGATTCCCAAATCGCAATGGAAGTGCTCACGTAGACATGGTGTGGTCCATGACCACGTACATCCCCCTCTTGTGTATCTCATCGATAGTCTTCTGCCATAGTGCGATATCGCCGAAGTGAAAGTCGAGAAGTGTTAGATCGAGAGGCTTCAAGAATATTAGCATACAAATAACCGTCGAATAGGAGGAATGTACCTACCGAATAGGAGTCAGCACCCCATGGTGCATTTATGAAGGGAGATCCAGCAATATAGACACCCTAAAGATGATTAGTCTTCGAGATCAATAGGTTGATTCATGTTGAACAAACCTTGATGCCCATGCCCTGGATATAGTCCAGCGTGTCGATGAGACCTTGGAGGTCGCCACCATGTCGGAGCTGGTTGCTGAAGATATCTTGCTCAAATGCTGTGCCGTTCGCATTATCGTTGCTTGGGTCGCCATTGACGAACCGATCTAGGAACAGGGTATAGAATGGGAACCGCCAATTGTCAGGTGACGGGTGATATTGATGGCCCAACCTTTGACCTGAGTAGTCCAAGGGATTTGTGGCCTGTTGGTTCGTGTTCAAGTTGTATTTGGTCAGGGCTGGGTCAAAGCGAAGAGCTTGAGCTATAGAAGCTGCAAGCAGGAGGAGGAATGTGAATGCCATCGTGAAGAGGTGCCCAACAGGGCAAATTAGGTAATGTACAAGACAATGAAAAGGAAATCAGAGCCGTTCGAGGTACCTAGAAACACCATAGACAAAGTGAGGAAATTAAGCTAGACCCTAAATCGGAGCTGCTGGTAGCTCCGGGGTTCAAAGCAGGGAGGAATGTGGGAGGGAAAGGAAAGAAAGACAGAATGCAGAGCAGACGGTAGGTATGTAAGGCTTGTCTACGATCTCACGGCGGCCGAAGACATTTATTCAAGGGGGGAGGCGAGCTCCAATGGACGAGAGGAGGTCTATGCACCAGGATGCTTCTGGATGATCACCAGCTAGCCATGTTCATCCTAAGGAGGCTGAAGAGCAGACTACGGACGCAGTCATCACGGATCACTTCTAAAGAAAACAAACTCATCAGGGGTGGCCGCTGCGGTGCATCCGTCGCCTTCACTGAGCTGGGCCATCTCCAACCAGGATGTGCTGACGGTAGGCTAGGGATGCTGTCACTTAGACCAGCCTTGCAAGAGAAAATGTCCCAGGAGCATGGGAGGAGACCACGGTGGCTGGCACAGCCATAGGTGCTCTGTTCCAAAATTAACGTTAAGATTGATCAAGGTCGATCTAAAGCGGCCAATCCTCATCCACAGCCATGCTCTAGAGAGTCAGCGGGGTGCAGAGCCAGCACTATTTCCGCCGGGACGACCAGGGGCCGGCCTCTTTCCCTAGAACATGACTAGTTCGGGACCGCGTTCAAGGAGCAAGCAAACTTTACCGTGTTGAAGAACGGAGCTAGAGGTATCAACGTGTGAAACGGCGGGTGCAAATCGGCTTACACGACAGGCTCGCCTCCACCCTCACGGCTTCCCAGGCGAAACGGAGCGTGGGATGCCATAGGGCTGTGTCTCACAACTTGCGGTAGGGTAGCATGAGCCGCTTGGTCCGTGGCTGCATGTAAGATATGAGTTGATACTTGACAGTGATTACCATTGGGTATCTAGCGAGACTTGGAAGTGCTAGTTTAGGTGAGATGATTATGGCTTAGGAGAGGATGCCGCACGCCAAGAAACTGCCTCACTGATGAGAGCGGGCAAGACCAACGGAAACTTCATGCAGACACACCAGTGCCAAGATAGGCCAGCACACTGCTGAAAACAAGGGTACACACGGTCTGAATGGCTACCATTTTGTGGTGACGCCTGTTCGACTGTCAGTGTTCGTGACACAGCGGTCTAGATTGAGGGCGAAAGAGGAGAAGGACAGATACCGAATGAACAATGGGTTCCGGTCGGCTTACGGAGGGCTTCAGCACACATTCGCTACATATTCGATGTACCCTACTCATAGAAAGCCTAGTATATTTGAGAAAGGGCATGCTGAGTGTGATTCCAGCGGGGATTATGAGAAGTCGCAATATGCTGCAGGGAAGCATGCAACAGTCGTGTGCTGAGAGGACCCTGTCAGTCGGCAGGGCAGGCCGTCCAGTACCAAAACAAGATGCCAGTGCCACAGCCTCAACGCCTCGACCCAGTCCTATTGGCGGCTCGGGGACCCTCGATCAGTGCTGATAAGGTGAGATCTTGGCAATGTTCACTTTCTTTGCAGACAGCCACTCAGACGAGACAAGGGTCAGATTGTGGCTGGCCGGACCAACACCATTAACCGTTAACGGTGATTTGTCAAAGAGTCCGAGCTAGAAACGAAGAAACGGTGTAGTGTGAACGGTCGTCGTGCAGTCGTCCTGTCCGTGCAATCTCACTTCGCATGGAGATGCCTCATATCACACCTGGCGGCCGCTTGGGATCCACCAGAGCTGGTCTTTGGCAACGCCGCTCTGTGCCGTTCTCAGCTCAAATGACTGTGGGTTGTTGAGGACAATCAGGTGGATAGACGAGAAATGCCACATTGCGGCGCAACACGGCACAGTAGACGCCGCTTCTATGTGGGTTGCATGCATCCCGGTGTCAAGTCAAGAATAAGTCATGAGCCCAGACAAATGAATGATGGATGATTTGGGGTCGAAGTAGATGAGCGTGCTGGTAGAGACCGGGACGTCGTCACGTCACGCGAGAGAAGGATCAATAATGTTGCGCTTATCCTAGGGTAGAGGACAGAAGCCGCACGCGAAACAATTAAAAGGACCCGGCCTCCCCCGCGGGCGGTCGTCGATGCCAATGTTGGAAGTCTGAAGAGGCTACAAAATAAATGGAGACGTCGACAGGATCGCCATCCTTCTGCTCCATGGTCCCACTGGCCCGAGGACGGCGCGGTGGAATCTTTCCAACGTCGTCGGCCATTTCTTCCAGAGTACCAGCGCTTCTGCAAGGACCCCCTCGCGGTGGGATTCAGGGTCTTGATACTTCCGAGTCCCGACAATTTTTCTAACATCGTGAAGTTGGGAGGGAGGCGATCGAGACCAACGGCGATGCTCAGTGAACAGCACCAGCCAGTTCCATGCACGCGTACAGTAAGGGGAGTCGGGCATGGACCAATGGGCGGCTTGCTGACGGGCAGTCCTCATTTTGGCAACTCTTACCTACACAACACCAACACCAACACAACACCAACACAACACCTACACAACACAGCAGCAGCAGCAGCAGCAGTTGCAGTAGTGGTGTCTGTCAGACCGGCGAGGATGGCCACTGGCTGTCAGCATGTTCTACTGTCTTGTGGCGGGTCCGACTCCCAGTTTGCTTGATGGGAAATGAATGATAAGTAGACCCGCCATGCGACGGACGGCGGACGGCGCAGGCGCCTGGTCTCTCCCAAGCTTATCGCGTTAAGTCAAGGTCAGTCAGCTCTTGAGTCTACAACTCTAGGTAGGTCGTCTATTTTACCAAGCGCGGTAGGAGGTAGGAGGTTGGCAGGCTGAATGAGACTTGGGCGACGGGGAACTCTCATCCGTTCTGGCTTAGCCCGGCAATGCTCCCCATGCCCATTCCATGCCATTCCATGCGCAGACCAGATATACGCAGTAACAACAACCGGAGATGATCTGAGTAACATTGTGACATGGATACCTTGGGCCATTTGGTCAGCTTTGACGTTTTAGGGTTCGGTAGGGGCTGACACCCGCATCAGCTCTCGGCGAGCTAGGTAGGTACATAGGAGGTTGACTAGAGTAGGGGGCTTTGCGGGCTGTGAACCACCCTCATCAGAGATGGCGAGGCATTGCTTGTACTGTACCCAAATTAGCACTCTGCTTTGTAAACTCACGGAATTGCCTATCCCCACTGACGTAAGCCGCCTTATGGTACGGCAGAGCCAATGGGAGATTGAAGCGATCCGTGACCAGCCAAGATTGCGGCCAGTGGAAATCCGTCAAGCCTGGTGTGTCAGTTAGTCCCTACACCCTTGTGAGAGTGTGGTAAAGTACCATACCTAGGTAGACCATCATACCATTGCCGGCGCCCGCCATAATGCACCAATGTGGTGTACATACACACAAACATACAGTGAGAGTGCAGTATCCATGTACAGGACAGTCATCTTCCAGCCAAACACCTGTGCAGGTAGTTGCCCGAGTCCCCGACAAGTGCTGACGGTCGGGTTTCGCCTCGGACCAGCAGCCAACGGCGCGGCATGAGGCTTCAGGGATGAATGCAAAATCATCCGCATACCGCTCTCAAGGACCCAGCTGAATTCATAAAAGAGCCGAACAATGTATTAAAGCCGCCTTTTCGATGTCACCCTCCGGCAGATCGTGACGAGCCTAAGTCGGACCCCGAGCTTGGAAAAGTGCAAAGAGCTTGATGACTTGCAGAGCATGACGAGGTAAATTGAGACGCAGCCGGGCAGAGTCCGAGAAACTCGCTTGAGACGAACATGCCCCACACTGCCAAAAGGCCACCAGCCAGTTCCATGTCGAAAAGGAAAGTTTCCGACGAGAAACAAAGCCATACTCTGAGAACGACTGACGAAGTGTGCAAAAGAAGCCGGGTGGAGCAGGAAAAGACAGACAGAAAAATTCGTTTAGCTACATCAAGTTTCACCTCGAGCAACTGAAGTTAAATCTTCCATCGCAGCTCTCATTAGGCGCAGAAGTCTTGCATGTGAGCCCATATGAAAAGTCCGAACCTGATTCGCTGAGCAACGTTGCGTTGCACAGACTTTGACGTCCGCAATAGTCGTTGAGCCACCACGATAAATTGCGTGAAGAGCCAGGAGGCTCAAAGGTGAAGCTTCGAGACTGCACTTGTTCGATATATGTCTTCTTCGTGCCTCGACTTCAGTGGAAGAAATCGAAGTTTATAGCAAGCGAGACTGCCCCTGACGTAAACATGGTAAGTCAGTAAGCCGTAAAAGTAGACTTCACTTTGGGGTATCACTGATTGAGGTTATGATTTACCTAATTAGTCTCCAGTTATCCTCGGGCCTTTTTCCCAGCGACTTTTGTACAACAGTCGGTTGTTTGCGAAGTCTGTGTAAGATATGATTAGTGTAGTAATATCTCTTCAGGGTTCTTTCAGTTATGACTCTAATACTTTTTACACAATGTCTTAATATAACACATTCTAGTAGATAACGGTGTCAAGTTCTGATCAGCTGAGATATTCTAGCTATTGAACTTCTCAGTTTGAAAGCTGTCCGCATAGTTCTCTAAAAAGATATTCTCTTTGTCTTGATTTGATAAATCAGTCAAGCAGTGCGATTTGTTTGATATAAACTCGTGGCTAGAATCTCTTAAGATATCCTGTCCTCTTTGAAACTGACATTTATACGTGGTCAGAAAATGAAGATGAAACATGGTAGAAGTTGTGTTGAGGGTATTGAAGAGTCTACTCTGTGTCTTAAAATCACTTTCGTAATGAAAGTAATAACTTTCAATAGCTCACTCAGTAATTCCACAGTTGCAATGTGTCGGCCTTTTTCAGACAAGCTTTAGGGCCCTCCCGTTGCATATTATTGCGGCACGCCCCAAACAACGGCCTTAGAGGTCAAGCGCACACCGTGTCGCTTAGAGTGCATCCCTGGAAGTTGCCGTTTTCGAGCCTGACGGGTAAGCTGTAAATTTCATGCGATAGGTACGGAGCTAAGGGCCTGTTATTTCATTTGAAGCCTTGAAATAGAGAGTACACACACTAAAGAAAAAAAATGAGCAACGGGAAATTCGAGCTAGATATATATGGCCAGCACCTAGCTTTCCGTGGCCGGCTGAACCCCGTGGAGAGCCGTGGTGATAATTAGCCCTTATAGATACATAAAAGCGCTGACAGGCTAAAATTTATTATAGTAGTCAACATTACAGTCTAGATTGTCTACGTCCGTCTAGTAGAAAACGATAACTTTGGGTTCTGCCAACCACATCACATTGCTAGCTCGTGACCTTGTCAGACGATTCAAGACCCATAGCCTTGGATCGCTTCATCGCAATCCATATCCATCCTCGAGCTCACCCGCCTGTGCGAGAACTACGTTGTTCAACCTTCCGCCGAGGTAGTAAACCTTAATTCACTTAGGATATCAGAACCTACTCGATAGGGTAATTGCAACATCCGTTGGGCGTTGGTGGAGCTACAGCAATAAATGGAGTCTGTGAGACTTCAACTAAGTATCTCGACTCTTGCCATTTGTACCTTCAACCTTAGAAATTCGTGTTTACTACCCTCGCGGAGGAGTAACCACCCCCCAAAAAAACATACAACACCAGGGATTCGCTGGTCGTCACCGACCCAACTACTGGTCTGGCCCTTAGCAGCTTGTCGAGGGGCAGAGCGGACGGGATGCCGAATTTTCTGCTAGGTATGGTCGTATGTGTTGGTTTGACTGTTAATTCGACATGTATGGAAGTGTCATGTTGGGTCGTTTGACGCCTGAGAAGAAGACCCTATGATTCTAGAGATTGTGAGACACTAAATTTGAAAGGATGGAATCGACCATAGGTCTTCGATAAAACATATCGTAGCATTGCCAAGTAAAGTCGAAGCTAGTCTCCGTGGGGAATCAGTGTATTATCTCAACTGAATATCCAGGGGTATCCCAAGCAGTCTGAAATCCATGCAGCAAAACACAAACATCCGTGTCTATAGAGGAAAGCTAGCAACCTGACTTCTAGTCCTGTCTTTCAAATTGCCAAGTTCCACATCTATACAGTCTCGATATACCTCTTCATCTCCCTGTTATTAAGTCAGTAAAAGTCAAAACTGGACCCCCAGGGACATTCTTTGGGAGACGACTCACCAATCAGTAACAGCCTCATCCCATACGCGGATCTCGTGCTCTCTAGTGCCGGCATAATGTTCCACAAAGTCATCACCGAAAACTTCTCTCGCAACGGAGTCCGGTCGTTTGAATCGATCAGTGGCTTCCTTCAGACTTCTTGCCAGTCGCATGCCCTTGTCACTGTCACCGCCGACATCTTCTCCTTTGCCCAGCGGCGGGATTGTGATTTCCAGCTTCTTCTCAATTCCTCGGTAGCCGAGTCCCAGGATCGCAGCCATGACAAAGAACGGATTCGCATCTGCACCAGGGACACGGACCTCGAATCTCGTGGCCCCTGGCTTGCTCGTTGGCGGCGCAATGAGTCGAATGCTGGCCGCTCGATGCTCCAGGCCCCACGATACAGTAACAGGCGCCCAGAAGTTCTCTACAAGCCGCTTGTAGCTGTTGATGGTAGGGGCAAGCATGGGCATAATGTCAGGCAGACCGTCAATCAGGCCGGCGAGGAAGTGACGGCCGATATCTGACAGTCCCGCGATATCCGACCAGGGAGCATTCTCGTCACGCGTTTCTCGGTAAAGCAGATTCTTACCAGACTTGTCGACGAGGGAGACGTGCATGTGTCCCGAATTGCCAGGAAGCCCCTGCTTGGGTTTGGCCATGAAGCACGGCGTTATAGCATACTTGGTTGCAACTGATTTCACGACATACCTGCCACCGCCACTGCTGTCAGTCATTTCACTTTAATGCCAGGATTACTCGGACTGACTTGAACAAGCTGGCGCGATCCGCCATGCCCTGGATCTCACCAAACTCAAGCGCCGCCTCGAACACGCCAGGACCGCTCTCTGTATGCCAGCCCTCGATATTACAGTCGAATGCGGCACACGTATTAAATATATCGTAATAGTAGTCCTTGTTGTGAACCGGGCGTGTTACGCTGTAACCGAACATGCCTTCGGTGAGTGAAGGAAGGGTATGCGGCGGGTTATCGCGGAGGTAGGCGGCAGTCGAGTCGGAGGGCGCCTTGAACTGGAAGAACTCGTACTCAGCTATACAGAATGAAATCATATTAGCGAAATGGTCAGCAGCATGGACATTTTAATGCGCGACGGTGGGCGGCGATGCGGCACCTACCTCCAGCCATGGCGCCCCAGCCACGCTCCTTGATCTTGTCCACCTGAAGCTTCAGGAGCCCTCGCGGGTCGGCGCATATGGGCTCGTGGGTATCGGGATCGAAGAAACTGACGAGGAAGAAGGGCACGTTGTCCTCCCAAGGTATCCTCCGGAAGCTGGCGAGGTCGGGGACAGCGATGACGTCACGGTAGCCGTTCTCCTTGTTGGAGATCTTGAGCTCGCGAATGTAGGTCATGTCGTGCATGTCCCAGCCGAAGATGACAGAGCAGAAGCCAAAGCCTGTAGCGGCAATGGAGAGGAACTTCTTTTTGGAGACCAGCTTGCCCCGCAGGATACCGTCGACATCGATGCCGGCGAGCTTGACGCTGTTGTCATTCTCGAGCAGGGAGGGCAAGGAGTCAACAGTGATCTCCTTGGGCTTTGAGTCAGACATCTTGGAGTCTTGTTCGGAGAGCCGCGTATGGAGTTGAACGAGGGTGGTTGTCTGAAGTGAAGAGAGATAAGGCAGCCCGGTTTATATAACGGGATGGTGGGGCAGCAGAAGCCGCGATGAGGCGGCGAGCTCGGCTTGTCAGCGGCGACAATGGGCGATTGGGGTCAATTGGGGGCGCTGTCAATACGATCAGAGGAAGCAAATACAAACAAATGGATCAATACCACGGAGGCCACGGCGATGAGTAAGGGAAGAAGCTCGCGATAGCTTCACCAAAGCTGAAAAGGACTGCCGATCAGGGACACAGTCGAGGAACATGTGGGATGGCCAAGCATATAAGCAGGTGGGAGGGGACCCAGAGTCCGGTACTGTACAAACTAGGGAGAAAGACCTGGAAAGCTACAGGTAGGTAAGAAACTCTACAATGTACCTAGTAGGTAGCCTAAGGAAGCCCGCCTTGGCAGCCCTAGCAGCGCCCGGTGGAGCGGCACTCCCGCGGCGGATGGTCGCGTGGGGCACCGATAAGGTGAAGCAGGGCAGGCAGGGCAGGCCTGGGGCATTCAAGGTGCAGGTGGGTTGGGGGCCCAATCACGGACTCTTCAGGGCCCCCATTCCTAGTAGCAGACCTGAGAGCGCAAGTCGAGGTGAGGTGGGAAAAGAGGGCGTCATGATGATTCTGCCATCTGCGCAAGGCCCAAACCGTTTGAGACGCGTCAAGACGGGGAAAAAGAGGGAACGGATGGATATTGGACTGCTTTGGTGAAGAGGTAATTGTGATCCGAGTTGATTTGATTTGATCTGAGGCCTCAAATGCCCCCCAACTTCCCCCTCTTTTTTGGAGATGCCCGCATCCAGAATGCAGACGACGAGTCAATCAGATGCCCTCATTCTCAAACAGACAACGTCTTTGGCCTTTGGTTCTCGGTCTGCTGCGGCATTAATACCTGAACTGACCTGACCTGAGACCTCTGCTTGACATTTCCTTTACCTTGCTTCACTTCGCTTTACCTCAACATCTGTCATTCATTACCTGGGTGTATTAGTATTAGTACACCTGCATGCAGAACTCGCCAGGATGTCCATTTGTTTCTTTCCCTCGTTCGTTCATTCAAAACGAGCCCCTTCTTCTTATTTAAAGGTAGACTCTTCGCCGCTCCCTTCCGTACAAAGACCGTGATCGCATCCTTTTTTCCTCCCTCATCAACTCCAACTCCTTCAGCTGGCGGGTATGCCGCCCCGTCTTACTCATCTTTCTGAGCCCCTTTCC